AGAGAACCTTTAAGTACCTGGTATGAAGGAATAAGATTATAGCTAAATATTATGCCTGGTGTATTTTTTAAAGCCCAAAAATAAAACGGTAAGAAATGGAAGAAAAACAAAAACAATTACAATCATTCTTGAAGAACTCAATTTGAAAAACTTACAAACTGAAGAACACAAAAAAGAGAAATTGAGACGTGTCACAGAACTGCTCAATGGGATAAAGCCCCTTGAGCCTAAACGACCCACAGACATATATGATACACTTTTTTCTTATATGTGTATATGGAGTTCTCCTCGAATGGTATTTTGCACCGACCCAAACGAAGGACAGGTGTGTCACTAAGTTCCTGTATGGGGACCTTGTGCAATGCAATGCTGGGTAACATCCACAGCTGTCTTGTTCACAGAAGAATTTGGGCGGCCAGAACGTGGGTCATCAAAAACAGTGTTTGTCATCCAACGACAAAGTGTTTGAATAGACCATATTCTCCATAAGCACTGCACATTTTCACGAATATTTTTTGACGATTTGCTAAGTTTGCAGGGCATACAGCAGATGTAGAAATGAACGTTTCCATTTGTAAACTCCATCATGTTCCCTCTAGAGAGTAAACCATATTTTGTTTGAGACGACATAATAAGATCATCAAGAATGACGTCACGTGAAACTCCAATGGTTAGTTCGAGAGAAGAAATAATGTAGATCAATAATGAATATTGCTGTTTATGACCGAAGTCAATACTTTAGCCGCAGTTGCCAACGTCGATTACTTTCTGTCCAATGCTCGCCAAAATACGACCCTTTTTCGATCAGTACTGTGACCACTGTTATAACTAAGGGTTGGTGGAGAGAAGTGCTAATATAATAAGGTAAACATAATTTATTTAACTAATTGGGTTTGCAAAATTGAACAGGGAAAGCGGGTTAATAACAGGCAAGTCAGTGTCCACTTCTTAGAAGTGGAATCGAAGAGGACAAACTTTAACATTGGTATAATATATTATTATTGAGTTTTTCTTACGCTCCATCCTCTTTCTCGCCTCCCTTCCCTTGCCCTCTCTCTCTCTCTCTCTCTCTCTCTCTCTCTC